AATAAAGGCTGTAGCCTAGGCACAGACCCTAATACTGCATTCCACCAGTCACCAGAAAGACAGTACTAGGTCCTAACACACTAGCTGTTAAATAAGTAGAAATGACTATCCCTCTGAAGTTCATATCAACTCACTATTTCATAAGCTCCCAGAGACAAGCCATTATCGTTCTAGAGAGGATTCTTTTGCTGAAATTTTAACTGACACTCCAATAAATACAGAATGGACACATTAAAAAATAAATAAATAAGAGGCGGTTGATGTGTGTTTTCCATGGTCCACAGCCAAAGTAAGTTAGCCTTTCTATGTGTCCTTCCTTGGACAGTCACGCTGCGCACAGTAAGAAAGACAACAGACATCCCAGGAGAAGACAAACCAATGATTTATGAAAGATCCAAAGTATAAGAAAATAAGACATTAATCTTAAGGAATTTAATATCACTGGGTTATTTCCCATCCAGTTTCTGATGTACAAATCACAAAATTTAAATTAAATAAAAGGCTTATGCAGTTGTATAACCCAGATGCACATTAAAACTTCCACATAATATATTGTCATTTGCAACTTTTTGAGAAAAAAACTAGATATGTGCTTTCAAATTGAATTTACTTTTATTCTAAAAATAAATGTAAGAAGCTGAAACATAAATAACTTTAACAATTTAGAAAAAAATCTTTAATGATATTAATTTTGTTGCCTCAGTTTGTGTTAATAGAAATTTACTAAATAGTTGTATTGTAGCTACCTATTAGGAAATATTTGCCAGGAAAAACAAAATAGAATCAAAATCTAATTATAGGACTAAAAACTGACACTATACCCAAATAAAATGTTTACAAAATAGTGAAATTCTAAGGTAAAGAATTTTAAGCAAAACAGGCATCGCGGTGACATATACCTGTAACCTCAGTACTCTGGGAGGCTGAGGCAGGAGAATATAGAAATCTGGACACTATAGAAACCTAATAAAACGCTGTCTCAAAAGTTCGCTTGTTTATTTATTGTATTTTGTTCAGGGTCTCACTATGCAGCTCAGACTCATAGCAATCCTTCTGTTTTCAGCCTCCCCAGCGCTGGGATTATAGGCGCATGCCACCATGCCTGGACTCGGTCACAGGCTCAGAAGGCCAGGGGGCAGGGCCAGCCTGACATGTGGTGCCAGGGATTGAACTCCTGTCTCCGCTCTTGCCTAAGCAGGCACTTAGGCGGCTGAGCTATCTCACCAGCCCTTCAAAATTTTTAAAAGTAAATAAATAAATAAAAAGGTCTGGGCTCTAACATTGTGAAAGTCCTTAGTTCAACTCTCAGAACTGTTAAAAAAACAAGAAAAAACAATGAATTTTAAATAGTTTTTTTTCCTCTCCTATCTTCCTTGTGCTTCTATTTTTTTTTTTTTTTTTTGGTAATATATTTGGTACAGGGTCCACAGGGTCTCACTACACAGATCGGACTCATAGTGATCCTCCTGTTTTCAGCCTCCCAAGTGCTGGGATCACAGGTGCGTGCCACCCCACCCAGTCTCAATGGCAGTTCTCAGCACGTCCCAGGGGCAAGGGCCACTGTGGCCTGCTGAGGAGCGAACCTGTGTCTGCCTAAGCAAGCGCTTTAATCCACTGAGCTATCTAGCTGGCCTTCTCTCTATTCTTATTTTTAAAAAAGAGAGAGAGGAAGAAACAATACTTTTCCAGTTTGTAAATGAAACTAGGGTGTTTAGGTGTTCAGTCTTAAGTTATGTCGTTGTAAAATGTCCGTCACTAATACTTTACTAACATAAGTACGTTTTTACCTTTGCAACTGAAACCCCATAGTCCTGGAGCGGGCTAACAGCCTCACGCAACTGGTCAAGAACTACAGAGGTGCTTGGGAAATCTAGAAGAAATATTTTATGATTATCAATTACCCCTTAAAAAAGATGAATTGTTAAAATTAAAGTCACAATCTGCCAACACAGAAGACATAGTTACTTGTCCAACGACACTGCAACATCTAACCTTATTTATTACATATCTTCACGTCCTTATTGCAGTAATATTTCTAACATTTTTATCATGATGTATTTTAACTTATAAGTGACCTTTAGAACTTCCTATTTTAATTTAAAGCTCACATTTAGCATTATTCCTCCAAGTTTAAGACCATATATGCAAACCACATTCGTGCAAAAATCTTCAAGATGATTTTAAAATAACAAATCACATTCACAAGAGGGCACAAAGAAATGTGGATTCAGCTCACTAAATGCAAGAACAAAATAGTATTTTCAAAGTTCAACAGTTACCCTAGTTAATTAAGTACAAATAATGGTACAGCAAAAGCAGAGGATTATACAAAAGCACTCATGATAATACTCTTCAAGATTTAAAATACTGTTAAAATATTTACATACTAAGAACATAAGAAAGTACACTTTCAAAAGTGACCAGGTGAAATCCAGGTATTGTATCAGTAATTCCTAACTAGTACTGTACTCACTATGAATGGGGCATACGACTAAACTCATGTAATCCTCATAACAAACTTAGAAAAAAGAATGCTAGGGCTGGAGAGATAGCTCAGCAGTCTCAGAGCCTGCCTGGCTGAGCACAAGGACTCGGGTTCGATCCCCAGTACTGCATGTCATACCAGCCAGTGGAACCAGGCATGGTGGCACATGCCTGTAATGTGAGCCCTGGGGAGGCTGAGACAGAAGGATCACTACAACTCCGAGCTGCATAGTGAGACCCTGGACCAAATAAGTCAATAAATAATTTTTTTTTTAAAGAGGCGTTCATTTTCACCCAAGCAATTTTGTGTATAATATAAAATGCAACAGAAAATTTAAAAGCCGGTTGAAAAATAAATGAAAATACATTAAAAAAGAAAATGAATACTGTTTCCTCATAATAGAGGACAAAAGAAATACAGAAAGATGCCAAGTGATTCAACCATGGTCACGCTGCAGGTGGGACAGAAAAGTCTGGATTTACCCAGACAGGCAGACGACAGCGACAGCTGTATAACGCACGCTGTTATTCAGGACAGTAAGTTCCTACTGAGCATGCGGACTGAACGGCATGTAAACAGCATAAGATTCATATGAAAACTTTAAAAATACTTACTTACCGATGTGACAAAAATACGCCAAAGAGGCTTTTCCTGGCTGCAAGGTACTGAGATAGTTCTGAGGACTCAGTTCTGGCAGAGGGTCTTCAGTTGACTTGTACAAAATGCACATTACAACGAAAAAGACCCCAGAGCTCAATACCCTGAGGTCAGACGCCATCACGAGCCGTAGCTGTACTTAGCTGTACGTGGTGGGAGGTGGCGTCTTTTTGGCCAAGGTCAGTACCTAGTTCCAAGTAAGTCTTCAACAAAGTTCTGTTAAATGAAATTAAATGAAGTTATAGCTAAAAAAAAAAAAAAAAAAAAAAGTTGAATCATTACTTATGTTATTTGATTTCACTACAACTTTACTATTTCCTTCTTAGTAAAAACTTGGCAGGGAATAACATATAATGACATTAAATTGATAATGATTCTTTTTTCCTAATTGCAAAAGAAATCTAAGATACGCTACCTGAAAAATATTTCGGTAGGGACAAATATTTTTACTATGATTCTAAAATTAATTCTCAAATATTCTCCAACCCATTTTTTTTTTTTTTTTTTTTGTCTTTTTGAGACAGGGTCTCCCTATGCAGTTTAGACTGGCCTTGAGCTACACTCAGGCAGTCCCAAACCCCCAACAATCTTCCTGCCTCAGGTATCCTCCTGCCTCAGCTTCTTGAGTTCTGGGATTATATGCATGCACTACCACTCCCAGCTTAAGCTGAGTCTTTTCTGTAAACCACCTATAGTTAATTTACAATAAATACCAAATTGCTTAATACCATTAAGATGGGAGTGCTACATCCAAAATACAGGTCTAATATGTTTACTTTTTATTTTAAATCTCAATAAGGTACATATTAAAAAGTATGTAAGAACATCCTTTCCAAATATACATACATTTTAATGCTTATGATTTAGATTTCTTTATATCATTTAAAAATTTATATCTTTTTCAACTCATACTATAATTCAGTTCTGTTTTCTGAACTCAGTTTTGGTCTAGACCTCTTTCTCTTATCTTCTTCCCTAGTACACTTACCTTCATCCTGCCCTCTGTATCTGCCATTAATTTTCTTTATCTTCTTTTTCTTGGCTATTTTCAACTTATTCTTGAACACCTTCAGTAAGTTTTTCTACCGATGTTGTATACTCTAAATTGAAGAAAATTTAGGATAAATTAAGATAAAAATATATTGCCTGCAAAATACAAAAAAAAGGGGGGGGTGGCCAGATAGCTCAGCGGATTAAAGCACCTGCTTAGGCAGACACAGGGATGGGGTTTGATCCCTGGCGTGCTGTGCCAGCCCCACCTCCGGGGCGTGGACAGATAGCAATTGAGACTAGGCATGGTGACACACACCTGTAATCCCAGTGCTTGGGAGGCTAAAAACAGGAGGATCACTATGAGTTCAATCTGCATAGTGAGACCCT